GTTGGACCGTGAGTGCAGCTCAATCCAGAGGAGTGCAAGGTCGCACATTCAGCACAAAAAGCACACTCCCAAATGGGCTGGGCAGATGCTCCTGGCACAGCACTGGACTCAAAAGGGTCAATGTGATTCTTGCGCATCACCCCTACTTTATTCTTGCTTCAGGCTTAGCCTCCAGCTAATGTGTCTGCTCAGAAAAGAATTGGTGGGGCATCCCTAAAAGATGAGAGGATGAAGAAACTCACCTTGTCAGGGGCCCTAAGTAGCTTCTCAAATAGCTGGCAGCATCTGAGCCGTCTCAGGAAAGAGATATCTGACAGGAACGAGCTCTTTGTCAGGGAGAGCGGTGAAGAGTGGGGGGCAGCTGGGAGGCAAATGCTTTCGATGGCAGGAGGGCTTGAGGCAGACAAGCAACTGGGACAGCTCAACACACCCCTGGGGTGCCAGGTCCTCTGGACCAGCAAAATATTGTAGGCTCTTCCTAATGCCCCTTAGGCAAGCACATCAGGTGCTGCCTAAAAGGCAAGGCTGATTATTTTGTCAAGAGCTGTCCCAGTGATACAAAACCTTGTTCCTTGCTCTGTCCTAGCACCTGGCTTGTTTCGCCTTTCCGTAGCAGAGGGGCCTGGGTACCTGTGAGGCAAACTGCAGTTTTAATAGCACGTCGTGGGGGGGACCAGTTCTAGGAAGCTGCCTGAGCTGGGTCCCAGTCCTTGCTGCTGCCCTTCCAGCAGCCTCTCACTTCTGCCCCCCAACAGCCTGCCAAGGTCCCTGCCTCATGGTAAGTCACCACACACCTCAAACATTGCTCCCATCTCACAGCAAGTCAGGGCACAGTCCGATAGCCAGGGGGGGCTTTGGCCCCCTCCACTCCGTGCAGTCGGGGCCTCACTGGCTGGCACAAATCTGGCCTTGCATCCCCCCCAGAGCTGCTGCTGCCAGACCCGAGGCAGGGAGTCCCCAGCTCCATGGCTGGCATCAAACAAGGCTCCCCCTGAGCTGGGCACCTGCACAAGGCAGAGTTCCTGTTGTTCTGCAGCAGCCCCCCATTGCTATCTGCACAGATGCAGGCTGAACTTTATCTTGGTACTTCTCCTTTGCTGCCGTTTCAGTTCAGATGTTCTTTCTTTGAAATGAAGGGGGGCGGGGGGAGGGACACCCCATCCTGCAGCGTTTCTCATCTCTTTCCTTCAGATCAAGATCACAATCTACTTGAAACTGCCTGATAGCTGCCTGAGTGCTGGGCTTGGAAGGACCAGGGGAGGTATGGGGGCCAGCTGCAGCCCCCTGAACCCTCTGCCAGAGCCATGGCCATAGCCGGTGTTCACAGATGCTGAAATGAGACGCCTTAGCAGCAGACGACCTGGAATCCTCCACAGCCTGCTCCTACCAAGGCCAACGGGAAGGCAAAAGCACCTCAGCCCCAGAGGGAAGCATTTGTCTGCAGACAGGGACACTCAGAGAGGAGCAGGGCTCCCTGGGTTTGTGGCCAGTGGCATGCCTGGTCACTTCTGCCCTGAGACCACCTGCTCCCGGGAAGGCGTCCAGCTCCAGATTGTGGGGGGCCACGAGCAGCTGCAGAGGAAAGGCAGCAAGCTACAAATGCAAGATAAAATATCAATGATTTCTGTTGAGGTTTTCCTGCTGTGCTGCTGCAGAGTTCTGATTAAAACTTGTATTTTCAGACATTCTGATTAAAAAAATCCGTGGGTGAAGCTCTGTGGAGAGCTCTGCCTGGTGGGCCTAGCCAGGCAACCCCCAGGCTGGCTCATGGGCAGCTGGCATCCCCATCTCTGTCAAACAAGGCTCCCTCCCCACCTCCCCACCCACCCATCCTGTCCCCACTGTGTGGCCCCCGCAGAGCCCAACATTAGCCAAGGCATCCATTTGCCCACAGGTGTTTTTCTGCTCCAGGAAGGGTGGAGTTGTAGTGGTTTAAAAATGATTGATTGTTCCTGGCAGTCGGTTGCATTTCTTAAGTTTGGTCTCTTCTACTGTGCAGCAGCAGGCGGTCATCTCTCCAGTGGCACATCTCAGTCGCCAACGTGGCAGGATGCTTCTGGCCCCAGAGGAGCTGGGAAGAGCCAGTAAGGCCCCTCTGACTTGGGCTGACACCAAACCCTGGAGACCTGGCCCTTCACAGTGCCCAAAGAATTGTCCCAGGCACAGTTGTGCCTGGGTGTCATTTCACTGAAATTGGGTGGTAGTGATGGTGGGTCACTGTAGGAAGAGTCTCTGCAGTGCATCTCTGGATTTGAAGGAAAGCAAGAACATGAAAGAGAAAGTTTCAGGATCGCCTCCTTTAGACCACATTAGTGACCTTAAGTGGCAAAGTTCAGAGCTTTGTTAATTTTTTTTCTTTAAGTGGCTTTTCTTTAGAAACTTGCATTTCCTCGATTCAAAAACATTAAACAGAAAGCAAACAGCTTTATAAAATGCCCCTCCCCACCCCTCCAAAAAAAGATAATTACTTGGAAGTCATCCCAATAAAACAAATCATCAGTGGTCCAGCCAAGACCCTGTCTCCCATGGTGTCACACCTTTTCCTCCTTTGTGACAGGTCTGAGATTTTTGACCTTTTGACTGATCTGCAGTGAAAGGCACGGAGCGTTTCCACTGCTCAGTGCTTATAGGACGGGAGCTTTGGAGACACTCATCCCTCAGCATCTCTCCAGAGTGAGCATGCCACAAATGCAAACTCCTGAGTCTCGCTTCTTCTTTACAGTGTGGCATTTCATGCATCTCCTGACAGCCACTGGCAAGTGCCAGAGAAGCAATCCCTCCCCTCCTTAGCTCTGGATTTTGGCCGGGGTAGCTCAGAGGGGCTGGAGAAGCTGGACCAGCTCAGTGTCAGGTCTCCAAATGCCATGCCCAGCACCAGCTCTCCTACTCTGCTTAGGACAAGCTCACCTTTCCCTTGGCATCTTCTGCCCTGTAACCATCTCTCAGTGAGCAGAGATGTCCCCAAGAGGGAGGGAACTCCACGGTGCTCCCACCTCCCCCACTTAGTGTGGCATGGCCAGTCATTTGTAGCGTGGCGTGACCAAGGCCAGGAGACCAGGCTGCTCCAGAGACTTGGCTGGAGCCTCTGAGCTAGGGTCCCCTGTGCAGGACCCATAAAATCCCTCATGTGAGTTAATCAACGCTGCTTTCCACCCTCTGGAGCAGGGCCTAGCTCAATACCAGACTTGTCCCCACGGGCTCACAGCTGAG